AAGCTAAGTTATCTTAGCATTCGAAAGAGTTACCTACCCAGGGATATTCAACCTGTTAAGGATTGTGTTAGATATACACAGAGGGCTTCCACCCAGGGAGGGGGGGGAACCTAAAACTCTCATATGGTGTTCAAGCCTCTGAAGGGGGCAGGCCAAAAAAGAATTCACTCAGCCCCATAAGCAGCTGATACATGGGCAGAGATTAATTGACTCAAAGGGGCAAGAACTAAGTGAAATGGAGGGAGAGAGAGAGAGATGGGCAGCAAGTATTTATCACCAGTTAGCAACATTTAACACCACTGCTAAGGATAGTGCTCTAGGTGCTAGCAACTGAAAGACAGTATTTACTTGTATACCTCTTTTTTCCAGGGCAGGGATTAGGTTGAGGCAATTGAGGCAGGATATTGCAAGTATAGGGTGGAATCCTGTCTTTATTTTAATATTTGATATTTTGTTGATTATGGATTTTTTTACATTAATGCTTTAAAATACTTATTAAAATATTCATTATCTTGATTATTGAGTTCTGGGAGCCTCTTAAATTTTACAACATTGTCCTAGCCCTGTCCTCTAAATTTTAAATACTTGAAATATAGGAATATTTCATTCAGTGATTGGCCAGACAGACTCACGAGACTCAATAGTAGGTTATACTTATATCTAAAATTTATTACAATAAAAAATACAAAGCAGAAGCATCAGGAAAAGGATATGGGTTGGTAGAGTCCAAAAATGTCCAGCACAGGCTTTGGATGTTCTTCCTTGGCTAGGAACACATAGGAGTGCTCTCTTTCTCGCTCGCTCACTCACTCGCTCACTTGCTCACTCGCTCACTCTCCCTCTCTGTCTTTCTCTCTATCAATGAACTTCAAGGACATATGTGTTATGTCTCTGCCTAGGTATGCTCTTTTGAGTTTCAGAGTCTGAGGACTTTCTGTGGAGACTGACTGCATTGACATTTCTTGCTGGGCAGCCATTGCTACACAACCAGCTATGACAGTGGAGACTAGGACCCCAACAGTATAACCAGGTGCACATCATCAATATTGATGTTTAATCAAAGCAAAGCAAACCAGTGGGCTTGGTCCATCACTCCAGGTATATATAACAAAATCATCAATCACTAATACAAAGAACACTTTGGTGGGGGAGAGGACACATTCCCTAGGGGGTTAGTGAAGGATCAATCATGGTTGCCTTGGAGACCAGCAAGAAATGAAGAAACAGATCTGTTGTGTTAACTCTTCTCACACAGAGTCATGTGGAAAATCAAAATGTCACCTTTATTGTAAGTAGCAGTGGCGCTAAATTGTGCTAAATACAGAACATGGTGTGGACTCGTATCTATGGACTTCCTACTCTTTCCTTGAAGCCCAAACTTTGAGATGACCACCTATGGGAGAATCTTGCACTGCAGAGGAGAAACTCACCCACCCTGGTGAAGGATATATTGTTGCTCTTCACAGCTGTTAAGCTCAGTTAAAAGTGAGGACATGGGGTGGTAGCCTTCCATACCTCCTTCAGGCCTGCTTCAGATGTGCTTTCCAGAAAAAGAAGGGCAGTGCAAGGAAAGCAGATCTATCCCTTGGGCAGAACACCTCCAAAAAGGGAGAGAATAATCATGAACCCTTTCCTTTGCCTAGGTTCAGTTGATAAGCTCACCTGAACTTGGGGAGAAGTCAGTGAAGGGATTTCCCAATACTGGACAGTTGAGCAGATTTTCCAACAGAAACATGCAGAGTATAGGTCATTACGTCATTGAAGGGAATGGCTCCAAAACCATTATTATCCCCATGAACAGATTTTCATCCTGTACTTTGAGTAACAGGCAGAATGACATCTCCTCTGGCCAGATTCCAAAATCACTTCTTATTCTCAATGTGGCTTTAAGACAAATTCCCACAACATTAGACTTATGCTCCCTTCCCCCTTCAACAGAAAACCACATTGTACTGAATAATAAACTCTCAAACAGCTTCATGTGTCGGTTCAACACCTTCAATTAATGGCATTGGAATAGACTTGGCAAACTATGGCCCCAGAGTCCAAGTCTGACCCTCCACCAGTTTTCATAAAGTTTTACTGGAACAGAGACATGTCCATTTGTATAAATACTGACTGTCTTTAGCTACTATCACCCTACTATAGCAGATTTGAGTAGTTTCAACACACACCATCTGGCCTGCAAAGCCTAACATAGGTATTATCGGGCCCTTTACAAAAACGTTTGTCAGCCCCCTCACACAGAAGAAGAAAAGTGCTTTAGTCATTATTTATGCCACTAGTGCTTTAAGAAACAGATATATAGCCAGAGTTTCTAAATCAGCTCTAAGAAAATGAAAGTAAATTTGTACTTTACTGAAATCTCACTATTGGAACAAGTGGAAGGCTAGTGTAGATTAGAAAAAATTAGACAATAGATTACTTTCATATGCTTTTTTCTTGAATCCAAATGCATATAAATTCAAGCTGTTCAAAACAGACTCTTTCTACAAGGCCCTACCTTCTTGGTTTGATTTTGCTAAACTCAAAAAACCACAGTTGAGCTGCTTGCATTTGCAAGGCCTGCCCCACACCTGTTGTGAAAGTCGGGGAGCGGAGGGGGCGGGCGGGGAGGAAGTGTGCAAACACCTGCAGTTGTGATGTAGATGGTTCTGGGGGAAGGAATGGGTCTGGTTGAATCAGAGAAGAGGCCCAGATGGGCTCAAAACGTAATTAAGACTGTCCAGCTCTCAATAGGTGGAGGTACTATTAAACGTTCTCTTGTTAGATATATTCTTCCTGTCTCACTAATACGATACAATGCCTCAGCAAACCTTTTGTCAAGAAAAGGAACATCATGCAGCTTATAAAATTGTGTTGTACAAACATTTCTACAGCCAACTTCCAATAAGTGTCTTGTGTGGGTTGGTGGTTTCGGCTTTATTGTTTGTGTTGTTATTGTTGCTGTCACTTTGAGGATTTTGTTGTTGTTTTTAACTCAGTAAAGATGTTTGGAAAATTGGTGAGCTTTCATTCAGCTAACTTCAGTATTCACTTAATCAAATTGCCTATCAACTGGCTAAAGTATTTTATTATAATTATCCTATGTATGCATCATTAGCCTCCTTAATGGATACTCTCAGAAGTCCATTTGTTAGGACGGGATCCCTGTCTCTGGACCCTTTTCATTTTCTCACTAAGAGTAATATACTTTTTGTAGGTGATTGAATCTTTGGCATAAAACAAAAAAAGCCTCTGTGCCTCTGTTTAGACCTGGGTGGTGGGTGAATGGGGGTGGGGGGGCGCTATGGAGTCACTTTATTGTTCTCTTTTTGTGTGTGTTTGAAAATGAGGGGTGCCTGGCTGGCTCCATTGGTGGAGCTGTGACTCTTGACATTGGGGTTATGAGCTCTAGCCCCACGTTGGGTATGAAGATTACTTAAAGATAAAATATTTATTTAAGAACCCTACATCCCTTGGGTTCCACCAACTGGGGCTCATCATTTTCATTAGTGGCCATCACTGGGATGGCAGCAGTGCATGTAAACTGATGACATTGAGAAGAGAGAATTAAACGGTGCTTCCTAATCCTTCATGCCTTTGAGAAACACATTGTTTAAAATGAGAAAGCATTTTGGGCAAAAATTATATGCTAGTATCCTTGCATAGAGAGCTCTTCAAAAGAAAGCTATTTATATAATAAGTTCTATCACTAAGCTGCTCCTCATTCATTAACTACATTAATGAAGCTGCTATATGCAAAGCCCCACGCTAGACAGAGAGACACATCACATTTGCCTTTGGCAAACTAGACAAAAAAGAAAATAGATAACACCCAGTCTCTGAAATTTAACACTACCCAGAGTCTTGGATCTGTCCTTCAGTGACCAGAAATCATCTTAGCTCAACTCCCTTCAGGCCTAAAACCATTAACAGAGCACCTACTCTGTATAAGGTTCCTAGCTAAATACTAAAAATATGGAGGAAAAAAGGCAGAGTCCCCATCCTTCGTCTGCTGTGGAAGACATAACAATGTCAACTCATGAGCAGTGGAATTCACAGGTTCTATGAGATCACAAAGTCTTCCTGAGTTAAATCTGAAGGATGGTTAAGACTAACGGGTGAGAAATATGGGAAGAAGCAAGAGTTACAAAATAGCATGGGAACGTGTTAGGATTTTTTTTGGTAATAATGCAATACTATAAAATTATCACTAGAATATGAACTCCAGTGGGGATTTTTGTCTGGTGTGTTCACAATATTTGGCTCATTGTAGATGCTTATTATATCTGTTAAATTAAATAAATGAATGAACCCAACTTTGAAGTGTTGCTAAAGATCAAAGCTTAAGGTGGAGAATAACTGTGAGGTAGACAAGACAAAATCAAGGAATCCCTGTAAGGACCTTGGATTTTATGGTGGTGGAAAAACACTGAAGAATTTTACGAAGAAGGATAGCATGACTGGGTTTATGTTTTCAAGCTTCAAGGGAGAGGAGAGAACTAAGGAACACAAGACTGGAGACAGACAAGTTATAAGCTCTTATTAAAGTCCAAGGGAAAGTTGATGAGGTAAAATCCATGGAATTCGGTGGCAAATTTAATATCCCCTAAAGCCACCAGAATGGCTAACATGAAAAAGAACTGGCAATACCAAGTGTTGTCAAGCATATGGAGCACCCAGAACGTTTGTCCTCTGCTGGTGGAATATAAACTGATAAAATCACCTTGGAAAACTGTTGGCCAAGTCTGGTCATTGAGGTGGCCAAGCCCTGCCTATGTTCTTGCCAGGAGTTGTTGTCTTGATAACAACTGCTCTGGTCTAAGAGGATTATGAAACTCCCTTCCTGTCTAGAGCCACCATCCAATTGCCATCTGACTCTTAGAAAAGAGATACTTTTTCAGATCCTTTCTGACACCTTCCTCCCCTGGCAGCCAATGCCAAGAGAACTATTATAGAGGAGATGCGTATAAACCAGGCAACCCAGACAAATCATGAAATTCTGCACCCACACTTAGGTAACCCTATTCTCGAGACTCAAAAGAGCAATTTGCTGTTATGAAAATGGATTCATGAGCGAGCCGGTAAGTGAAATGGGATCAAGATGGAGTCACAAGTCTGGGGTTTACTTTCAAGAGATAAAATGAACCATGATGCTCCCAGGCAGCACCCAGATAGAATGATGCTGCCTGGAGAAGCAGAATCATTAGAAGCAGGTATAGTTTCTTCACTGAGCATTGAAGTTGTTCTAGAACTTTCCAACTCCCGCTCTAAAGACCTAACACCATTTCTGGCTCCTGAAACCTCCCTCACTGGAAACTCAGATCTTCAGCCAATCCCAGCCTCAGTTTACTCACACTCTGCCTTCTCTACAGCCACTTTATGTAATTGGCACTAAAGTAATAATGCATGGTAAGAGTCCTAAGATTCCATATTTCACCAAATATATGATGCCCATTGGCAGATGCACCATTATTTTACATATTACTAAAAAATGTTCCAAATAAAATATACCCTCCACTATGAAATACACCCTGAGTCAGAGATGTGACAATTTGAAAGGAAAATGTGCTTCTTAGAATTAATTAATTATAATACTATTGCCTGCGGCAAAGTTCAGGGAATGAGAAATCACATGTCATTTGATTTCAGGAAATCATGCTTATGAATTAACAAATTCTCAAAACCAATGCATATAGGCTCTGAGAGGTTTCAATGATTGAGTTTTCTCATTTCTAACAATATTATGTTTTAGGTATCAGTTTAGAAGAATATTATGGAGAATTACATAAACCTGGCAAAACATTAGCATAAACAATTTTGAAAAGGTGCCAAGTAATTGAAACCTCATGAATTTAATGTGTTTGTGTGTTTATATTTTAAGTATTTTTCAGATAATGGAAATGAGGATAATTTATCAAACAGAAACAAAAACCTCTCAAAGCTTTAACATCTTTGCGATATTTTAATGAATAAATATTTCACCTTTGTGTATTTGTGAACAGATTTTTGAATTTTGTGGAGCTGATGCTCAAAAATTGGAAGCGAAGATTCAAGAATTAATGTAAGCTGATCTCCAAGACAAAATACATTTGCAACTTTTTAAGAGGCCACAGCGAATGTGTTTGTGCTTTTATTTGGAGCGAATATTGTAATGTTCGATCAGTCTCCCTCCTAATGCTTTACAGGTTGAACTCCACTTTGCTGCAATCTCACTCCAAAATTGCTTAAAGCTCTTGTGATATCAGAAAACATATCACTCCCATTCTCTAACTTAGCTTTCCATTTACTTGAGCACATTTCTTAGATGATGTTTTTATGACCTTCACAACAGAGGCCCTGCACAGCTAAGTCACACCATGCCATTAAGAAGGTTTTCCAGAGATTGCCAAAGATGGAACTCTTCACAGTGGTCAAGAAACAAATAAATACTGCATTGCCCTGGTGTACTCCAAACAGGTAGAGGCCAATTCTAATTGAGCCATCATTTGTGGTACATAATTCTCTGATGTATCAATTTATATTAGAACAGTGTCGTTTTTCTCTCCCCCACTGCCTTTCTAAAATTCTTTTATAAATTTAAAAAAAATCCACACACACGTACACAAAATCCAGAAAGTCTTTTACTACCTGTAATGTTTTTGGTATTAATAGAGATTGCTCTGACATTTAGGGCCCAGAGAATACAGCATCTTCTCACACTATTTGGGGCTGCCATCAGGTGAATGCCAGGAATCCGAAGTCATAAAGTTGAATCGGCGTTCCCCTAGCTATTAATGACTGAGATTTTGACAAAATCTTAGAACTCTTTGGGATGTAGAGTAGAGGAAGCCAAGAGCTGCTAGCTTAAGAGAAAGGGGGCATCTTTAAATCATTCAGTAAAAATTTATTGAGCACCGACTCTGTGCCAAGCACTGTTATGGGTATCTAGAATAACACTTGATTTATAGAGTCCCAAGACAGAAATAGAGGCAGCCTTCGCATGCAATCAGAAACAGGAACGGGATAGAGATGGGGCACCCAGGGTGCTTCTGTGTACTTCTGTCCTCTGCTTTTCTGTTTTCATCTGAATCATCTTTCCATTGCTGTAGCTTGTTCTTCATTGCTCAGTCTTCATTCTGAAATGTAGCTTCCCAGGGGAATGGTGACTGAGATCTTAAGATGAGGAGACGTGTTACGAAAATTACAGGCCTCAAAGTCAGACTCAGACTTCACAATTACAAGAGCATCTTGGTTCCAAAAAAGTTTTTGCCCCTTTTTTTCATAAAAATATTAAGTATTGCTAGTGATGCTTTGCTTCTTTCTAGCCCAAACCCCCACCGCTGGGGGTGAGGACAGATGGAACCTTCATCGGGTGAGGCAGCCATGCGTTGTGTGCGTGGGGTTCAGCTGCTTGTCTTCCTGGAGCCCAAATCAAGCCTGGCTTTTCTCTTTTCCACAAGCCTACTCCCACCACAGGGGCAAAGATGGAAGATTCTAGGGCCTACAATCTTTAAATCTTTGGGCCCAGATGTGCTAAGTGCATCAGGAAGGACAGAAGAAGAGGGGCACCTCCCTGCACCAAAGCAAGAGCCCAGGGGTCCAGAACCAGTCACTCATACTCCATTCCCAGAGATGCCATTCTACCACACCCAGATGAACTCTGCGTGAGGCTCAGATGGAGAGTAGGCCAGACAAGACATGAGGGCTGTAGCCTGGAGTTAGCCGACTCTAAAGGGCCAGGCTGCTGGAAGGACAAATAATATGGGCTAGGAAGCTGTTGGCCAGGCTGAGACCCCTGGGACCAGACCAGCACGGGTACTAGTATGAGTGAGTGAATACACCTTTCACCTTGACTAAGGCCTTCACCCATCCCCAGAGCACAGGCCACTGTGGGGGAAGGTGGCTGGGAAATCAGTATGCAGCTGGTGACAACAGAAAAGTCCAGTTCTCTGCATGAATGTGTAATAGGTACAAGTTCTATGAATGAAAGTCAAGGACACCTGTGCACCAAAGTCAACTCATACTAGTCACTGGCTTCTGGAAAGAGCAGCCTGAAAAATGTCTATACAGTGGAGGACAGGGTGGAGAATGAATTCCATGCCCAGATGCAGATGGAAGCCCAGGTGTGGATGGAATCATTCTGGCAGCCTCAGGCATTTTACATTTTGTAACATCTCTGTACATGTTGGAGCGGGCAGAAGTTTCATTTTCTTCATTGTTATTTCAGGCCCACCATCCCATTTTAACTATAAAACAGGACATGTCAGAGTTCAAGAGAATTCCCTGGAAACCAGTCTTCTCCATCGCATTTCAGCAGGCAAGGTTCCTGTGTGATTTCTCTTGCCGAGATATGGAAAGAGTCCATGCTTTTATAATGTCCTTTCTATTTTGATAGGAAAAGAGAATGGGAAGTCACTTAATTTTTGCCTTGTGTTCTATTTCTGAGTCGCACATTTTTACCAACGCAGTGTTTATTTATCAAGCACTAACACAATTTTCTAGCTGAGACATGATCCAATATTGGTTCATAAAATGCAATTTAGTGGGTCAGCATTCTCTTAAAACAAAGCAAGAGATATCAGAGAACATTTACTGTAGCAATGGTAACTATCATTTCATGAAACCTGTTCAGTTGTACATATATTTATACTAGGGTCACAATGTAAAATATGTTTCTCAAAGTAGGTTCTGGTGAGTCACAACTGAAAGCCTTTGCCAGAGGGTTTCATCTTTGCCGGGGATGACCTGGTACTGGGTTTTGCAAAGTGCAAATTCTCATACATAATCCACACCCTGAATCAGAAGCTGGGTGGGGGTTGGGGGATCATGAGAGGAATCCAGATTATTCTGAGCACCACTGTTAAAGTACATCAAAGGACCAATTGCAATCATCAGTGAGGCAATAGAACCGAAGAGAAAATGGGGAAAACAAATTGCAGCTCTTGATAAATGATGAGCTTCAAGAAGTCCACACACTATTTCATTTAATCTTCATGGTATTACTACTGATCTCAATTTACAAACGCAGGGAGATGAAGTTCTTTGCCCAAGGCCACACTGCTAGTAACTGACTGAGCCCAAATGTGAACCCAGGTGTGCTAGAGAAAATCAAAGGGAGATGAATTAATAAAAGATTCTCTCAAAGCAAGTAAAATCCACTGCTTTGGTCAGTCCTTGCATTGATGTCATGCAAGCCCCTGCACCCTGATCCAGAAAGTGGGTTTCAGAGAAATTTCCATAAACGAACAGTCCTCTCTCCCAGAATGTTCCTGAAAATCACCAATAAGTTTTAGATGTGTCATGGGTACTCACTGTTTTAAAAATCTTGAGGCTTTTTGTTTTCATCGAATTTTCATGGGCAAGTATTTGGGATTTCCGTGTTGGTATCCTCGTAAAAGGAAGCATCCATTTGACTATATTTCTTGTCAAGGCTTTTAAGAAAAGGAATATGTGACCAGATGGGATTGAGAGTGAGAAGTCGGAGAAGAGCAGCCGGGGAAAGAATTTGAGCAGTATATTGGATTCCTGTAAAGCCACTGCTCTCCCAGGCAATCCTTATTTCTTCTCCCAGAGAAGGTGGAGCTTTCCCCCTGAAAACCCCATAAGGCTGAAAAGATTCAGTGGGGGCATGCCGCCAGGTAAGGGGACAACCTCAGTTGGGGGGGCCTAGCCCTGAATTTCCTAAGCTTTGGTCATTCACATGCCACTGTTATAATCAACCTATTTACTTCTTGTATAGGAAGACATTTATTTTGCAACAAAACTTTTTGTCATCAGAACTTAAATGGAAGACGAATATTGTTCTCAGAAGTAGAAGAAAGCCTCCATAAACAAATACATTGAAAAGAACTGATTTTTAGGGGCGCCCGGGTGGCTCAGTCGGTTAAGCGTCCGACTTTGGCTCAGGTCATGATCTCACGATTCATGGGTTCGAGCCCCACGTCGGGCTCTGTGCTGACAGCTAGCTCAGAGCCTGGAGCCTGCTTCAGATTCTGTGTCCCCCTCTCTCTCTGACCCTCCCCTGCTCATGCTGTCTCTATCTATCTCTCAAAAATAAATAAAATATTTTAAAAAAAGAAAAAAGAAAATTCTAAAAAAAACCCTGATTTTTGTGGTTTGTCAAAGATTCAAAGCCTGAATGCTCTCTTACCAACGCACCCTTTCTCTCTTTCTCCCTCTTCTCTCTCCTCCCCCTCTCTTCCAACACAAAGAACAGCTGCTAGAAAGGTGTTAAAGATGGAACAGAATCGGGGCACCTGGCTTGGCTCAGTTGGTAGAGCATGTGACTCTTGGTGTCATGAGTTTGAACCCCATGTTGGGGACAGAGGTTACCTTAAAAAAATATTATAACACCAAATTAAGACTTTCATCTTGAGTAATAAGAAGTAACTGAAAGACAGTAAAAATGGGACAAAGAGGAGATATATGGGAACTCACTGTAATTCTTGCTCAATGTCTCTTAAGCCCTAAGCTGTTCTAAAAAATAAAGTCCATTAATTTTTTTAAGTTGTACACATATAAATTAAGAGCTTTAAGTTGGAAAAAAATAGGGATTTACACCCTCCCCGGTGTGAATCAAGGCTATTTAATGCTGCATTCCCCATACTATCCCAAATCATAATTATTACCTAAAATGACCTCTCACAATAACATTGGTCCATGACCCACATTTTGTGAAACACTACTTAGCCAAAGTCTGAGTATATTAAAAAAAATTTTTTAAGTGTTAGATAGGATGGTTTCCTGTTGATGCCAGAATGAGGTTCTGAATCATTTGTCTTTCTGTCGAAGCCCTTCGTGACCTGACCCTCACGTTCATCTCTGCCCTTCTCCCTTTGCCCACACACCCCAGGCATTATGTCAAACTCTGTGCTCTTTCTACATCTGGAATTTCCTTCCCCCCATCTTTGCCTGTCAAATCTTATTCAAGATCCCTTAGCAAATGCATTATTCCTTTAAGCTGACCCACAGAGTCTCATGAAGCTTTCCTCGGCTGTCCTGTGTCTATGGAGCTGTGTGGGCATGGCCATTAGAGCCGCCGCCTTTTTGTCAGATGTGGTGGATTTTCCTGTCTGCCTACAGTTATGGGCTAAAATGCATGGCACCTAGTTAAATTTGAATTTCAGATAAGCATTTTTTTTAGTGTAAGTATGTGGCTTACGATATTTAACAAGGTACCTTGTATTTCTTACTTGCAAAATCTGGCAACCCTATGTCTGTCTCCAATGAGACTCAGCTTCCTAAGGACAAAGGCTGTGGTTTTCCATCCTTGTGTGTACAGTACTGAGGACATTACCAGGCACTTAGTAGCGGCTTGGTAACTATTGGATGGATGAATGCCTGCTGCCCAGCCACACACAGGAAACCCTAAGACTTCAGCTAAGATCATGAATGCATTTCTATCTCTACCCAGAAATGCAGGTTTGGAAGGGGGGAAAGACAATGTGCTCACATTTAATTCATAATCTATAAACTAGATCTGTCAGAAGGAGCAAAAGTGAATTATTCTCTATCTTGTCTTTTAACACCTATAATAAGTCACACACTGCATGGCTTCTATATACTTTACAAGTCTATAATCAGCTCCCACACAAATCACAGTATGAGGGTGAGAAGTTAGTGAATCCAAAAGAAGTAGTGAATCCAAAACCAGGCAGAATAAATAGCAGCGGCAGCCAAGAACAGATCTACTCTATGATGGGGCCAGTTCTGCCTCTATTAATCAGGTTGGCAATTAATCACCAAGCTTTGCCATAAAGCTTTCCTGGGAGGGCAGTGTGCAGTGTTGGAAGGATCACAGGCTCCGAAGTCAGACAGACTTGGGCTTGCGTTATGACTCAGCCACTGCCAAGCTGGAACCCTCTCCAGGGCTCAGTTTTCTCATCAGTAAGTCAGGTTATAATGGAACCTCCAAAAGGTCATTGTGAGTATAAATGAAATAATGTACGTGAAGCAGTTTGTAGGGTGCCAATCCTTAGCAAGTGTTCAAGGGTGTTAATGATGGTCGGGGTGATGATGCTTCCACTTCTGTTGCAGCCAGATTATCATCTTTTTGAATATGTAAACATATGCTCTCTTTATTTTGAATTTTTCTTCTCTTTTATCCTCCAACGGCCTCTAATAAAATGTGCCCCAAAGAGTCATCATCTTCTAGACTTCCAAAGAGCCTGAAGTGTTGGGAATGTTCAGTGGTATAGTGCCTTTCATAAAGCTGATGACCTTTAACCACAGTTTGTTGGATCAGACCAAAAATTAACCTTTGTAGGTAACTAGTGGACTGTACACTGTCTTTCATAAACCCTTGCTAGACTAAATCTGGGCAGATAAGAAACGCTAGAGATTAAAAACACACACACACACACACACACACACTAGTCACTTCCTTCTTAAAATAGTAAAGAACGGTTTAGGCATAAAAACGGTTCTTCCCACATTTTCCACCAAGATGTTCTATTGGTTCTAATCACAGGCACCCACCTTGGGGAACATACCTCCTTAAGATGATGCTTGCCCTTCTCGCCAGCTGCTTGAGCTGGAGAAGGGAGTTCAGAATGATTGCTAATCCACTCTCAGTAAATGAATACTCATCAAATAGAGGCCATTCTCCAGTCTTCACCCTTAAATGCTCTCAGCTTAATTCAACTGCAGCCATCATTAAACTTATATTTCCATATTAAAATACCTTGACCTAAATCTAGCAACATCCTTATTGGCACCTCCCTTTATAACTATGTCACCACCCTCACCCCCACCATCATGACCACCAAGTCTCCTTGGAGCTCTGTGGCTTTAGAGAATTTGCTTTAGCTTGAATGTATTTTTTTTTTTTCATGTGTACAATGAGAAAGTTGGAATCGGGCGGTCTCTAAGCTCCTTACTGTTCTGTATCCTTAGAACCCCATCCCTCTGTCTTACTGCATCCCTTTTAGTTGAACTGGAGTCTCCCCCATGCCTTGGGGGATTTCTTCCCCCATCAGTCTAGGAAAGACAACATTGTTCCACTTATTTCTTCTCACCATTTTCGTGTTCATTTCTAGGTCAGCTCAAATGTGTACTCAAGCTGATTCAGGTAAAAATGATCCAAAGATTGAGGTGTAGCACTTATTAACCAGAAAGTCCACTGACAACTATTTTCCAAGGCTTGGGGATCAAAAGGAGCCTGGCACCTAGAAACCACTCAGTAATTGTTGGTTGTGTCATTGCTGTTACTGTTGTTATCAATGGGGAAAATTAATAGACTGAAATTGTCCTATCTTTGTCTATGCCCTTGATTGGGCCTGGGAATGCTATCCTTCTGGCCGCTCT